CTCATATTATATTTGATTTCGGGCCATGTCAAGTGTTTGATCCATGTTGTGAGTCGCCTTCGTATTAAATGTTTGATACGAATAAAAATTCATGTGATGTTTATATTGATATATTTGTGTGATATTAACCTAAATTGACGTCCTTACTCCCAAATGAATAAGAGCAGGGAAATTGCAAAGATAAAAGCAATAATTTTTCTTTAAAAAATGTCCTTTTTTTTATACATTTCTTGTTCTTTATTTATATAAATAAAATATAAACAATAAATTTTCAAAAATACTAGTTAAAAAACAGGTGCCCAAACAAATTTCGCGTTATGTTTTTATTTTTAAAAACAGATAGTTGTTTTCAAAACCTGAAAACAAACAAGTCGTTATTATTCTTTTCTCCGTTCCTCTTTCTAAGAACTAGGATGGAGTTCTGTAATCCTTTTTTTATTAATAGTACATAATTTTAGAAATATTAATTAATGATTGATATAATGATATTTATTATTTAAAATTTACTCCTTAGATGTTTACCGAAAAAAATAAATAAAAAAATCCACTCCTTACATAACATTTAAAGTTGTAATTTATAAATTAATTCCTAAAAGAATTAATGAAAAAAACTCCCCAATAACGGGAAGTTATATACTCATATGATGAGTACCATTATCAAACATTTTACCTGTGGAAATGGCAAAAACAGGACAATAATAAAAGTGGCACATTTTTTGCAAAAAGTTATCCGAATGCCATATTTTGTAATTTTTTTTTCTAAAATGCCATATCACCTAACTCGCTAGGTGTTGATAGGTGTGCTAAACGAGCCATGAGTCTTTGGCTCGGCTCGTGAAGGTCTGAGCTTACATGTCTAAAATTGATTATTGGCACCAGGCTTGAACATGTATAAAAATTCGTTTAATAAAAAGGCCTTAGGCTCCAATTCAAAAGCTCAGCCTAAGAGCCTCTCAAGCCGGCTTAGTATATTTTTTTTTATATATACTACTTGTAATAGCCCTCTCTTTATTCTCAATCAATTTCATTCCCATTTTATTGGTTAAATAGAGTTTTTGAATGATTTTATTCTATATTATGTTGTTTGGATATACCTTGAATTTATGAATATTTATGAAATTACTAGTGTTATTGATACATATTTTGTTTGAATAAATTTTTATTGTCTTATTTTTTTAAAACATGCTAACAGGCTATATCAGGCTTTTTTTTTTTTGTAAATAAGACAAGTCACAGGCCAATAATTATATTTATAACAAGTAACAGGCTTAGTCAGACTCACTCATTTAAATACAAACTTAGCCTTTTAAGAATAAAGCTTGACTCGTTAACACCCCTAGGTGTTGGTACTTGGCATCAAATATGCTACACAACATATCATGTTTAGTTAGTTTCTGACATGTGACAATTCTAACACGTGACAAATGTGCTATGTAGCATAGCATATTATGTGTGTGTCATAAAATAATTAAATTAATATAAAATTAAGAGTAAGGTTATACTTATAATCTTTTTTTTACAATCTCTTACAACCATATCTTAACCGTTGATTTCCGCCACTCAACGATTATCATTTATTGTGAATTAATAATTAATTAACGAGTTTAATTTACGAAAATCATAACCATTGATTGACGAAAATCAACGGTGTTAAGATATGGTTGTAAAAAAAAAAGTTATAAGTATAACATTCCTCTAAAATTAAACTAAAATACTTAACAAACATAAATTACATTTAATTCATAAACACTCCTAGATTAAATTACATTCCTTTATGCTTCAATTTTTTTTTAACTTAGCGTTAACTAAATCAAATGAAATTAATTAACATTCCTAAAAATAACACTCCTAAAAATAATTAATTAATAATTATACAATTATTTAAATTAATATAGATTGAATTATACAATTATTCAGTAATATGCTATACTGAATAGCACGTTGTACATGTTAGAAAAGATGACTAAACATGCTATGTGCATAGCACAATTGCCACGTGTCAGAAGCTGACTAAACATATTATGCTACATAGTTGCACTGCGCAACGATTTACCTGGCCATGCACCTTCTCCCACGTGTCAACACCTAACTCGCTAGGTGTTGTAGCGAGTTATGTGACGTAGCATTTTGGATTTTTTTTTGCGAAGTGTGACATTCAAGTAATTTTTAACAAAAAAATATGGCACTTTGATCATTTTTCCAAAAACTGGAGGAGACCATTCCTCTACGTGGTTTCTCTCAAGCCAATTGTATTTGTAGTCCAAGTTCGTCCTTTCCAAACCCTGGCAAATCAAGGGTATGTTTGGTGCATAATATAAGATAAAGCCTGATAGTATAAGACCTCAGGGCATGTTTGATATATAGTATTAGATAATGTTTGATAGTATAAGACTTGATAGTATAAGACCTGATTGTATATGACTTGATTAAATTTTAATGCTATCCAGCGTTTGGTATAATATTGTATCAGATAATATCTTATAATAATTTAAAAATTAATATATTAAAAAATTTTATTTTAATATATTAATATTGAGACGATATATTAGTTCTTGAAAATTGTACTTGTAAGCAATATTAATACATTATCACTTATCGAGCCTAATCCATCCCTCTTAGGCCGGATTAAGTAATACATCGTTTTGATGTATTAAGGGGTCCTGCTGTATAAGCTTATACTATACGATGGTCACACCAAACAACTGAAAATGTCATAACGTATAGTATAAGCTTATACTATCAGGTCTTATACATCACACCAAACAGGCCCTGATAGTATAAGACCTGACAAAATTTTAATACTATCATGCGTTTGGTATGATATTGTATAAGATAATATTCTCCAATATTTTAAAAATTAATATATATAAAAAATATATTTTAATTGTACTTTTAAGCAACATTAATACATCAACCCCTTATCAGGCTTAATCCTACGCCTTTAGGCTTGATTAAGGTATACATCATTTTGATGTGTAAATGGATGCTGCTGTATAAGCTTATACTATACAATGGTCACACCAAACAATTGAAAATGTCATAACCTATCACACCAAACAGGCATTTAAAGTAGCACTATGTTAAAAAAGGGTGCCTCACTAATCCTTGTTTTAAAAGTTGTAATTAATAAATCAATCCCTAAAAAATATTAACAAAAAACCTTCCTAATAATTAACCCTTTCTGCTGCTGCTAAAGAAAGGAGGTCTACATCTGATGCGGCAGCTATGCTTATTTAAAAGAAAAAATCAATAAAATATATTAACACAATACTAACTTTAAAATTAGTATTATAAAAAATACGGGAATCATGCTCTCCTGTTGTTACAGTAGAGAAAAATTGCACAAATTCATTTTTCGTGTCAATTAATTTTTTTTTAATATAAAATATGAAATTCACATTTAATTTGTCTCTATTTTTTTTCTCTGATACTATCTTACAACATAAGAAAACATGAACTCGAAAAAATATTGATACAAAATTTAAATTTTAGATTCCTTTTTTATTTTTGTGTGAAATAGATTCCACGAGTTCCACGACAAGTTTTTAAGATAGTATGTGATCTTACGTAGCTCGCAGAGCACCGCAAAGAAGCTGGGGTACCACTCTATTGAATTTTGCATTTTAGCTTTTATGATTGGGAATATAGGTGTTTTTTTTAATGCATAAAAAATTAAACACAAAACTTAATATAATCTATTAAAACCTCTCTACCAAACCTAGTGGCTTTGGGAATATAGTTTCTAGCATTTGGTGTCAACCAGCGGCGGACCCAGGACCGGGTACATGTCCGCATTGCGGACATAAAAACTTTGATTTTAGTTTTTTTTTTTGTTTTTTTTGTTTTTTTGTTTGGAGGTCTTTATTTATTTTTTTGGTTCAATATTTATATTAGTCATTGTTAATTTTGCAATGCAGATGTTAAATACTTTTTTTGTGTTGAGATTAAATATCAATAATTCTTATGGCAGATTACTATTTTTCATGTAGTAACTGAAGAGATAAGATGACTTGATTTTCTGAGTTTGCACAGTTCAATCACTCAACTCAATAATAATTGGACATAGCTTCACTAGTAACCTTTAATTTATGGGAAAAGTGTTTGTCCTTTTCAATGACATAACTTGTGCCATTTCACTCTCACAAAAAGATAAAATCCACACCTTTATTTTTTATTTTGTCCACTCTCTCCCTCATGATCTATCTCTTTCTCTCACTTAAAATGACATAATTTTACATCATTTAAAATGACTCACATTTTGTTATAAAAATAAAATAAAAATGACTCACATTTTTTCCTTAATTTATACGTAATCTTTTACTAGTTTATGTTTTTATCAGTCTAGAATTGCTATTCACCTTATATGTTTTTTCTACATTAATAAGTTAACTCTTCAATATAAAAGTTATATCAAAAAAATTTCGGGACACGTCACTAAATGTGCGGACATAAATTCTTTTTTCTGAGTCCGCCACCGGTCTCAACACAAAAAAAAAAAAAGTGAGCGAGCATAAGACAAAATAAGAAACTATAATCCCTTTTGATATTTTATGGAGGGATTTGTTTTTTTTTTTTGTTCGAAGGATACGTGCTTGCACGTGTTCCACGTGATATATAATATATTTAGAGATGTTTTTTTTTATTGGATACATTATATATTTATATACTTAGATATGTTGGTACCTGCTTCAAACTACAGCTTTTCGTTCTATCGTCATTTTTCATTTCATCATACTTTTGCGCCTTTTTCCTTGTTCAGGCTTTAGACTTTTCTTCCTTTTTCCCCGTGAGTTGTTATTTGTGTTCACTTTCAGGATTAGCCCTTTAGTTATTCACTGGAAACCCTTTGTATAACTTCTCCAACTTTATTACGTTTCTTCGTTTTTTAAGCTGTCAGTGGTATTTAATAATTTAGTAATTAACTCTGATTCTTGGAGGGTGTATGCAAAGTTAATCAGCTTGGTCGCAAAACACCAGAAGTTTCTTGAGGGTGGACAAAAATGTCATCCGAATCTGCGTCTTGGATCACCTCCCTCTCATGTACATCCCCGGTGAAGCAAATTTCAGGGGATACATTTATCTCAACTCTACCTCAATGGCTGAGGTTTATTTTTCTCTCTCCCTGTCCTCAGAGAGCTCTGTTGTCTACTGTTGATGTCCTACTATTGCTCATTTTCTTTGTGTTTGCTGTCACCAAGCTCTTTAAAAGGTTCACCACCAATGGAGGCTCCCACAATGACCTCAACAAGCCGCTTATCAGAAATAACAGGTCTTCTTACTTGACAACTATTTGGTTTAAGTTAACTTTGACTGCAACGGTTGTTTTGGCCATTTTGTACACGGTTGCTTCCATTCTGGTATTTAGCAGTTGCCCCAAGATGCCATGGATGCAAGTTGATGGAGTGTTTTGGTTAGTCCAGGCCATAACTCATGCAATACTTGCAATCTTAATCATCCACGAGAAAAGATTTGAAGCTGTTGCACACCCACTATGGCTTCGAGTTTATTGGATTGCAAATTTCATTTTCATTTCATTCTTCACAGCGTCTGGAGTTATTCGTTTGGTCTATGTGGATGTGGACGAAACCAAAGATTTCATCTTTAAGGTGGATGACGTGGTCTCTTTCATTTCATTTCCTTTGTCTCTATTTCTTCTTTTTGTTGCGGTTAAAGGATCCACTGGCATTTTGTCGGCAGCAAAAACAGAACCACTTATTGATGAGGAAACGAAGCTATATGATGATGCTCTGAGTAAATCTGAGGTTACTGGCTTTGCTTCAGCTTCTATAGTTTCCAAGGCATTTTGGATTTGGATAAATCCTTTATTGAATAAAGGGTACAAGTCGCCGTTGAAGATTGATGAGATTCCAACACTTTCCCCTGAGCATAGAGCTGAGAGGATGTTATCTCTCTTTGAATCTAAATGGCCCAAATCAAACGAGAGTTCGAAGCATCCAGTTCGAATCACTTTGCTTCGATGCTTCTGGAAGGAGTTAGCCTTCATTGCATTCCTTTCCATTGTTAGACTCTCTGTCATGTTTGTAGGACCGATTCTCATACAAAGTTTTATTGATTTCACTTCAGGGAAGAGAGGGTCTGTATATGAAGGGTACTACCTCGTGTTGATTCTCCTCGTTGCTAAATTCATAGAAGTCTTGTCCACTCACCATTACTACTTCAATGCTCAGAAGCTTGGGATGCTTATCCGAAGCAGTGTCATTCCTTCTTTGTACAAGAAGGGGTTAATGCTATCATGCTCTGCTCGGCAGGATCATGGAGTAGGGACCATTGTGAATTACATGGCTGTTGATACCCAACAACTCTCTGATATGATGATGCAGTTACATGCTCTGTGGTTAATGCCACTTCAACTTGGTATTGGCTTATTACTGCTTTACAATTGTTTAGGTGCCTCAGCAGTAACGGCGATCCTTGGACTTGTTGGTGTTCTTGTGTTTGTTGTGATTGCTACACGTAGAAACAACAGTTTCCAGTTGAATGTGATGAAGAACCGTGACTCGAGAATGAAAGCCGTGAATGAGATGCTTAATTACATGCGCGTGATCAAGTTTCAGGCTTGGGAAGAACATTTCAACGGGAAGATTATGGGTTTCCGTGAGTCAGAGTTCAGTTGGCTTTCCAAGTTGATGTTCTCAATTTGTGGCAATACTGTTGTGATGTGGAGCACACCATTATTGATATCAACTCTAACGTTTGGTACGGCTATTTTGCTGGGAGTTCCACTTGATGCAGCTACTGTCTTCACCGCAACAACTGTGTTCAAGATCTTGCAGGAACCTATTAGGGCATTCCCACAGGCTATGATATCTATTTCACAAGCAATGATATCACTGGAGAGGTTAGATAATTTCATGTTGAGCAGGGAATTGTCGAATGATTCGGTTGAGAGAGATGAAGGCTGTGGTGAACAAACAGCTGTGGAGATAAAAAATGGGACCTTTAGTTGGAATGATGATGACCTGCAACAGGACTTGAAAAATATTAATTTGAAGATAAAAAAGGGAGAGCTTACAGCAATTGTTGGTACTGTGGGGTCGGGAAAATCATCTCTCGTCGCATCAATTCTTGGTGAGATGAGCAAAATTTCTGGAAAGGTATGATTCTTGTTGAGATATCAGAACTATGTAGGCATTTCTTGTTGAGTATGATTATAATTATATATTTCTGTTAACAGGTTCAGGTTTGTGGGAGTGTTGCTTATGTTTCACAAACATCTTGGATTCAGAATGGGACCATTGAAGAAAACATTCTGTTTGGTTTGCCGATGGACAGATATAAGTATAATGAAGTTATCAGGGTGTGTTCTTTGGAGAAAGATTTGGAAATGATGGATTATGGGGATCAGACAGAGATTGGTGAGCGTGGCATCAACCTAAGTGGAGGCCAGAAGCAGCGAATACAACTTGCGAGGGCTATATATCAAGACTGTGATATATATCTTCTTGACGATGTCTTCAGTGCTGTTGATGCTCACACTGGCTCTGAAATATTTAAGGTGGTTATTCTCAAAGTTGAAGAGTCCTCGCTGAATAGTAGCAGGAATGTGCTAGTTTGTTGCTTGAAGTAACCTTTTTAATGTTTGTTGTATGTATGCTTTTTATACAGGAATGCGTGAGGGGAGCTCTAAAAGGCAAGACTATTATTCTTGTAACACACCAAGTAGATTTCCTACATAATGTAGATCTTATATTAGTAAGTCTCTTTTTCTCATCCTATAATGCTTCATCTGCTTTAATCTTCAATTTGACTTGGAGAGTAATTCGAATACTTATATTTGCTTGCTAAAGGTGATGAGGGATGGCATGATAGTTCAATCAGGGAAGTACAATGATATACTAGATTCTGGAATGGATTTTAAAGCTCTGGTGGCTGCACATGAGACCTCTATGGAACTAGTAGAGCAGGGTGTGGTCCTACCCGGTGAAAATTTGAAAAAATCAAAGAAATCTCTAGAGGCTGGCATGAAAAGTAATGGTGAAAGCAATTCTCTTGACCAGCCCGAGCCTGGCATGAAAAGTTCTAAACTCATCAAAGAAGAGGAGAGAGAAACTGGCAAAGTGAGCTTACATGAGTATAAACTCTACTGCACTGAGGCTTTTGGATGGTGGGGCATTTCAGGAGTATTGCTTTTTTCTTTGTTATGGCAAGGGTCTATGATGGCAAGTGATTATTGGCTGGCATATGAAACCTCAGAAAAGCGTGCTGAAGTGTTTAACCCTTCTCAGTTTATTTCTATTTATGCAATTATTGCCTTTGTTTCGGTCATTTTGATTGTGATAAGATCCTACTCCTTTACATTATTGGGGCTAAAGACAGCACAAATTTTCTTTACACAAATTCTTCGTAGCATCTTGCATGCACCTATGTCTTTCTTTGACACGACACCATCTGGGAGAATTCTAAGTAGGGTAAGAACTTCACTGCGCAAGTATTCTGTGCTAAACGTTGTATTGAAGAATCTAATCCATAATGATATAGACTCTTACATTTCCTATCTTAAGCACATACTTATATGATGATATTTTTTTTTATGTTTAACTTATACAGGCATCCACCGATCAGGCTAATGTTGATGTCCTTCTCCCATTGTACATGGCATTTGTTATTGCCTTGTACATTACACTTCTCAGCATCTTCATCGTCACCTGTCAAAATTCTTGGCCAACAGCGTTCTTGATAATTCCTTTTGTTTGGTTGAGTATATGGTACCGGGTATGTAACACCCTAATATTCTTAACTTTTATTTTGTTATTGTAGAGTATCATTTAATATGCAATTGTCAAATATGTCTTTGACTGCAAAGATAAGTGAATTCAAAGGAAAATAAGTGAAGAACTTGCTAATAAAATGAATTTCTCCGTGATTAAAAAAACATTATGTGCTTATCTTTAAAAAAATGTATTGAATTCAAATATGTCTTAGGTAATGTTCAATTGTTGATAGGTTATGTGCTTATCTTTAAAAAAAAAAAAATTATTTTATTTAATTTTTATTTTATTGAGGGTGTTACAGGGTATGATTAACCTGTTTGTCAAATGTATTGGTTAGATAATTCTGATAGATCTATGTCTCAGATGAATAGCATCATAAATGACATGGACCGAGTGCTTTGCCTTTCTTAGATTTACAATGTCTAAAATCCAAAAATATGTTTCAGCTTGGAACATGAATAAAAATGGCTTATCTATAACTTCCAATATGTTAAGTTATATAGAGAGTTTTCAGTTAAAATATTGAAGTAATTTGCAAGGCTGGAGTAGAGCTCATTTCACAGAAGGGTTAACCATATAATCCACAGCAGTAGAATGTAATTTGTTCTCAATTAAATGTATATTGTGTACTTTATGTACAACAGTTTGTGTGTTTGCTTTCTCTTTTTTGATCTTGCAGGGTTACTATCTTACTTCATCTCGTGAATTAACTCGACTGGATTCAATTACCAAAGCTCCTGTTATTCATCACTTCTCTGAAAGCATTGCAGGGGTCATGACAATCCGCGCGTTCAGAAAACAAAACAAATTTTGTGAAGAAAATCGCGAACGGGTGAATGCTAATTTGCGAATGGATTTCCACAACTACAGTTCCAATGAGTGGTTGGGATTTCGCTTAGAATTCCTTGGAAGCTTAATCTTGTGCATTTCTGCAATGTTCATGATCATCTTACCTAGCAGTATCATAAAGCCAGGTAAACTGACACTAAAGGAATTCTAGTGTTGTGCCTCTAGTGTCTGTTTGTAAATTAGTTACACATTTTCAAGACAATGCTTCTTTAAATAACTCGGTTATTATCTTTGTGCCTCTAATGTCTAAACAGTTTATATATTAGTTACACGTTAAAAATTGAAATAGCTTGCAGTCTTGCACTGTGAAGTAGACACTTTGTCTTGGATAATGTTGAGAAGCCTATTTTGTAAACCAGTGATATTTATGCTGCTGTGAAAATTTTATTAACATAATAAACTGATTAGGTTGTTCTGCTTGATGTAGAAAATGTTGGTTTATCTCTCTCTTATGGGTTGTCCTTAAATGGCGTCTTGTTCTTGGTTGTATTCATGAGCTGTTACGTGGAAAACAAAATGATATCTGTTGAGAGGATAAAGCAGTTTACAAATATTCCATCGGAGCCAGCATGGAAAATTAAGGATCGTCTGCCTCCTTTAAATTGGCCAGGTCAAGGCAATGTAGATATCAAAGACTTGCAGGTAACTTGAATATGATCAATTTGGTTATGTTTTACATTCTAGTACCCAGGGGGTTCTTGCCTTTCTGTATAGGTCAATTACATTATTTGCAGAACATGTTGCTGATCTTGATCTTGATTTGTTTAAGCAACTATCCTTGGCAGGCACTATTGCCAATGATGAGTTTTTCACTATTTGCATTGAGCAACACTATTGTTTCCCCATTGTAATGACTTGAGCTTTTGGTGAACAGGTCAGATATCGTCCAAACACTCCTCTGGTTCTTAAAGGCATTACTTTAAGCATTAATGGAGGAGAAAAGATTGGTGTTGTTGGTCGAACTGGGAGTGGAAAATCAACTTTAATTCAAGTGTTCTTTAGGCTGGTGGAACCTTCAGGAGGGAAAATAATAGTTGATAGTATTGACATATCCGTCTTAGGTCTTCATGATCTTAGATCTCGGTTTGGTATCATTCCTCAGGAGCCTGTCCTTTTTGAAGGAACTGTCAGAAGCAACATTGATCCTACTGGACAGTATACAGATGAAGAGATATGGAAGGTAAATAATACACCAATTCCATCTTTATGAGGCTTAAAATTCATGCCTGATGAAGATTTTCAATCATTGGCCTATTCTAATAACTTTTTATTGTTGTAGAGCTTGGAACGTTGTCAACTAAAAGATGCTGTGGTTTCTAAGCCTGAAAAGCTTGACTCTTTAGGTATAAAAAGCTCTTCTTGTTTTTTACCATTTTCTTTGAGCTTCTTGAATTTCGTCATTTTTACTAATGAGAATGTTGTTTAAACCTTTAAGTGGTGGATAATGGAGAGAACTGGAGTGTGGGGCAGAGACAGTTGCTTTGTCTGGGGCGGGTTATGCTTAAGCGAAGCAAGCTCTTGTTTATGGATGAGGCAACTGCTTCTGTTGATTCTCAAACTGATGGTGTAATTCAAAAGATCATTAGAGAGGACTTTGCAGCCTGTACCATAATCAGCATTGCTCACAGAATACCAACAGTCATGGATTGTGATAGAGTTTTAGTCGTAGATGCAGGTATGATATTCTCTTTGCATGCTCTTTCACTAAATTAATGATCATCGAGGACCTTTATGTTTTGACCATAGAAGCCTAAACTATGTTCTTGTCCTCTTTGTAATAGGGCAAGCGAAAGAATTTGATAAGCCCTCCAACTTGCTTCAAGGGACATCTCTCTTTGGGGAATTAGTTCAAGAGTATGCCAACCGCTCCACCGGAATATAAGATATACTTTCATGCTCCTCTTGAGATAGCTGCATCCATATGCCAATGACACGATAAAACATCTTCCTATAGAGACATAATAATTCACTTACTGTTTCATTGCACCATGGTTATTAATTCATTAAGTCTGAGACTCTTAAGTACATTTGGCCACACTAGCGCTAGTATACACAATTCAAACTGTAGTAGGTCCTGATCTTTGGCACTACAGCAACCAGTGTAATGAGTGGTACCATTGGTTTTGCAGTAGCATTTCATTCAATTAGTAATATAATTCTAGAGATTTGCAAAAGGGAATGGAAGAAACAATTAAAATGGCTTTTATGTTGTTTCACCAAGCATGCATCATACGTTCATGGATATTTTCAAAAAATTGGGGAATGTTCATTTTGTGTAACGAAGAAGAGTAATTTCATTGAGTTATCAAAAAAGAACCGAAGAATCCTGATCATCCCGAGATGTCTCAAATTAGGATTTTTCTCCTTTTAAGGGTTTTTTGTTTGTTTGTTGATAAACTCTCCTTTTAAGTTTTATGTGCTAATCTCTTGGGTTTCTAATGAGAAATGACAAATTATTCCACTGAATTTGGAAGTCATGATTTGGCGTGAGTGTTTCCATGCACACTAACCTCGAGAAAAAAAATAAAAATAAAATCTTCACTTCTTATTTTTTTCTCCATAATCCTATATTTACAAATTACAATGAATTAAGTAGCAAATAAAATACAAAGAGAGAGAGAGAGAGAGAGAAATTGTGGTGAATTAAGATATATATGTATTTTTTTTAACAAAATCTTATCATATATTGCTGTTTCATCTAACTTAATTGTCACTCAATAATTATGATAGACAAAATAAGGCAAAAAAGGAGAAATATTTGAACCCCATTCAATCTTAAGATTTGTATACACCAACCACATAAAAATAATGCTATTAGCGTGTGTATGATACGCAGGAGATAAAAAGGGAATATTATAATTAAGGTAAGTATACAAAAAAATGAGACTCGGATTTGCCATTATTAAATCATATCTAGTATTTAAAATAAAATAAAAAATAAATATTTATATTATAAAATTTAAGGGAAAATATTTATCTTTTTAAAAGATAATTACTTTAATTAAAATTAATATTTTTTATTTAATATTAAATTAAAAAAATCATTTCACTTTTTTTACTATGATTTCTATTTCTTTCACACACAGTTATTTTAAGTAAATGTTATAATTTAATGTTGTTTAACGGGATAAATATTAATATCGAAATTTAATTAAAAAAAATATGTTGATATGAATCCGAGTTTAAAGAGGAAGCAAATCAGGAGGAAACGACGCCGTTGTAGTATCGGGAATTCAGTAAACCCTAAAAAACCTAAACCTAATATAATTCCTTCGGCAATTCTGATCCCTTAAGCCCTAAACCTGAAATAAACCTCTCCTGAAAACGCAGTAAACTCTTCTTCTCCTGCTCCTACGCCGAAAGAGAATGGGAAGGTCGCGAAGAAAATACAAGCAATCGAGAACGAAGGTTCGAGTAGGATTGCCGAAGAAGAACCCTAGGATTTTCAAGCCTGCGTTTTCTGTTCCTCCTAAGCTATTACAGTCTGTGGTTGACAGTGACCTAAACCCCGAGTGGGACGACAAAGGCAGCGTTAATCACAATTATAATTCCTTCGGCGTCGTTTCCAACCCGAACTCGCTCACCATCAGAAACACTCCACAAAGCGATTCCCACTCAGATTCTGGCAGCGATCTCGAAGAAGACGGTCAGTCATGTTTCTCTTTTAATTTCTACGCTTTTACATGTTTCTTCTTTTTTTGGGGAACTAGTTAATACATTTCACATCTGATTGATGTTAGCGTAGCCAAAATTTCTCTCTCTCTCTTTTTGTTTTTCTTTGCCCTTAAAGTCATTCGTTGTGATATGTTCAATTGGCTTCCTTGTCGAATGAATGATTGAATAGAGGAGTTGTTGGAAACTAAATGAGTTGAAAATATGAGACGCAAATTATTTTAAACTTGCCTGGTATAGCAAACTCGAGTAGCTGTTGATAATGAGATGAACGTCTTTTATTCATAAATAGGGACTTGTATTTTCTTCTTCCAGTCTCTATTTTAAGAGCCTCGAGTGAAAATTAAACATTTCCATGTTCACTCCATTCTCCTTTTACCATGTTTTTCCTTTTACCATGTTTTCTATCAAGCACACTCTCAATGAGTGTGAACCATGAACCGAACCGCCTCTAAAATAACCGGTTTTTAAAAATCAGTTCATGAACTGAACCAGTATTTAAAGAATCAGTCCATGAATCGAATCGGTTTTTAGAACCAGTTTAAGAACCGAACCATTTTGAACCGAATCGGTTTTTAGAACCAATTTAAGAACCGAACCAAATTGATTTTTATAACTTTATTTTTTACATTTTTATTTTTATTTTCTTTTCAAAAGAGGGTCAATCCGAACCGGTTCCGAACCGAACTGAATCACTTCCGAACCGAACCATTTAAACTAATTCGGTTTGTTTTTTTCAAAAAATCCGATTCGGTTCGACCCATGCACATCCCTAGTTAGAGTTGGGATTGTCTTTCAAGTTATCTCTCACGGGTTTCTCTACACTTATTATTGTAGCTCAATTCATATTTCTTCCCTCTAAATGGCTTCTCTGGTCTCAAGGTCCTGAAATAGTTCTTGTTGGAAGCTTAATTGACTTGAAGCAAAGCGTCCTGCTTGACTGCTCGTGCTTCAAACTTAAGTAGTTCTAAGCATTCAATTGGGTAGATGGGTATTTTTGCTTAACAAACTCATTTGCGTATCAGTTATATGGTTGTTACTTGTTAGCTCCTACCCTCCTTGCTCTCACTATTCTTTTCTTAAAATTGAATACAGTGGCAGGCCATGTATACTGGCTCTCAGGCTTTGTCTTATTTTATATATCTTTTCTTTGGTTTGTGTAGACTTGAAATCAGCCTTGGGAAAGAAGCGGAGAGATGGAAAAACTGCACCTCCTAAACCGTTGACTGCAATGCAGCGTGTTCATATCAGTCGCCTAGTAGATAAATATGGAGATGATTATCAGGTTGGATATTGCTTTTATTTTCAGTTTTCAGGACTTAACAAATTGTGAGACTGGGTGCTTACATGTTTGTCTTGTTTTTGCAGAGTATGTTCATGGATATAAAGCTAAACCCCATGCAGCATTCACTTGCGACTTTAGAGAAACTATGCAAGAGGTATCATATGCATAGTAATAAGAATCCTCTGATTCTGACCAAATGAAATATTTCCCCTCTAGACTAGTATGACGATTGCATACTAAAGGGTGTAAGTTGTAATTTTGATCCATGGACGTGGAAATGATTGGATTATTATGTCTCGAAATCGGCTGAAATTTTGCTGATACTGTGGATGTATTTTTCATCTTTTGCATTTATTCTTTAACACTTCGAGACTTAAACGAGTAAGATCATTAGGAAATGTTGTTAATGCTTTGAAATTTACACATGGGTTGAATTTTGCTGCATAAGTTGAAGCATTCCACGAAAATAAAATAAGAATTGAATTTATTTTCAATATGGGAGTAATGTCATAAATACACTCATTTTGTACTATCTTTTTTTAATATTTTCTCTATTACCGAGTTAAATTTTATGCTGGTCTCAACTATATGAATTGAGTTCATTTTCTATTATCGAGGTCTGTTTGAGATTTTACCACATTGAAAAAGATAGTGTAGCCGTTTAGTGTTTGCATTTTTCTGGATTGGAAATGTTCAATAACATTTTAAGCCCCATTCTATAATATCACATGATTTGTAATGTGGCTTTATCTGCTACTCGAACACATTACGGTTCGGATGAATTTGGAATATGGTCGATGTCAAGATCATTAGTTGTTTATGGGATGTATGAGGCTTTTAGGTTTGTCATTTAATCGACAATGGGAGACGAATTTCCTCGTTACTCAAAGAAAAGCGTTGTTTGTTCGCTAAAAACCACGAATGCCGTTTTACTTATAATTGACTTAATGAATCACGAATTTAATACATGCTCATAGCGAACATTTCTGAACGCTGTAGTGGCACGCTGACCGCTTCCTCCATATGTACGCAACATTTTGCAAATCTTATTTCAATCTTGTCCTCCTAGGCTTCTACTCCTTTTCTCAATAAAATGTTAAACGACTCAAGATACTAAACAAAAGTAAAGAGTTAAAGTATAGAATGGTACCCAATTGAATCGGTTTCTCGTCACTGGGTTCTCTCCTGGTTGCCCTGAAAATTTAAGTTACAACATAGAAAAATGTCTTTTTCTGTTATCATTAGCCATTAGGCGTGAAAATGAATTATAGGCCTTATCTAATTAAACCATAATTCTGTTTTGCAAATTAATATGTAATATTAATTTATAATTGATAAATTTTACAAGTATTATAAACTAATAATTATATCTCTAAATAATAAATAAACAGACAAGTAAAAACTTTTAATTAGCTTATTTTATTATTTAACAGCATTTTAAATAAGACAAGTTATTTTACAAGATTCTCAATCCTATTGATCATTGTTGAAGTGGAGTCCCTTATGCCATTAACAACCTTCTAGATATTTTACAAGCAGCTTCACCTTATTAAGAATGTGACATACAAAAGAACAATTACACAAATACATTCAGCCTAAAACTACCCTTATACTCTCTACCAAAGAAACTACTTAGACGCCCACAAATGCCCTGCACTGTGATTCCCAGTGTTCCTTTATTTGCTTAACCCTTTCTGCCCTCTCTGCTTGAAGCCTTTGCTCCCAGTATTCCTGACAGCTGAAAATCATTGAAATTATTAGGTTAAGAGACTTGCCAAAGGATACAGCAACAAGAAGATGATATACAACAGAGTTTTTAATTATACCCATCTCTTTCTTTACCGTACCAAGTTTTAACCTCCTCAACATCCTCCCCACCCTTAATGGAACAAATGGGATCATACCTTCGACCTAAAAGAATATTTAGTTCTTCCAAGTGAACAGCACCTTGATGAACTGCACTCTGCAATCAACAAAAGTAAAATTCAGTATAAGTTTCTAATTATTTTAATTGGTTCAAATCAAATCCAGAAAACAAAACGAAGATATTTAAATGATTTTCGTTGCCAATTCTTAACAGCCCCAATCATAGTTATACTCATACGGCATTGAGATGCCTAAATAAGTGAACAAACCTTCCTTAGAAACTACTATTTATAACTTATTACAACATTAAAATAATGAAGCTCAAGAATGGCAGAGGGAATGCACAAACTTGCAGCTCATTCTGGAGAATCTAAATAATAGATGGTAAAACTTAATAGATAGCCCTTAATGTTTGAGCTTTAGCATATTTAACATAAAATATGCTCTTAAAATTAAACGGCAAATGAAAGCTTAGAATAGGATCCTGATCTCATCAGTCACGCGTTCCAAATATAACAATTCAGTTCAATCATGAGTTATTAATATATTTATATACACATTTTAACAGAAGTTGATAAATTAAAATGATTTTCCCCCATTCTATACTCTATACATTCCCATTCCAATATAAATGTCATGTCTAGTAGCTTACCTCTCGACATAAAGGACATTTTTCTTTAGGATCTGCTGCCTTAAGTCCATTAACAATAGATACTGATGCAGCCGAGCAAGCACAAATATAGCAGAATATATGGCCGCAACTCAGAGCAACTGGATCAAACACTGTGTCCTATCATGAAGGAGGCAGATGAACAATATCAATGGATTAAAAAGTGAAGGACCATATTGGAGAATACTTTTCCAATTCCCATAGAAAACATTGTTGATGTTAGAAAAAAAGTTAAATGCTTTGGTGCTGAAATGCGAAAATCGTTGATTTATCTGAGATATTTGAAATCATATACAAAAATATAGCTTATGAGTAAGTATCCATTTTTTGGTGGGAAGATAATCTTTAACTTGACTAGATCCAAATGTGAGTAATGCACAAAAATTGAGGTCCAACTCAACCAATAACTGATACTGTGTAACTTACCAAGCATATAGAACAAGTCAAGTCAATATCAATGTTGATAGAATCAAGGATCTCACAAGTAAGTGATGGTTTCCCATCCTTAAATGTGAGGGAACATCCATCAAAAAAAGCATGTGCCTTCCTTGACTTGACCTTGGTCTCCCTTAAATTGATGTGGAAGGCCATAAGCTCACAAAGCCAGGGACTTTGAAGAATTTCCTTGTGCATACTCTGGATCTGTGACTTGAATAACTGCCCTTGCTTGGAATAATGAATCTGCAGTGACAGCAGAAATAAGAGCATATAAAAACACATAGCTTTCACCCAAATTGTCTAAACTTAAAAAATTAGCGCACCTAAGAATTAAGGATGATTTTAATATTTATCTAGAGAAGCAAAACAGATAGACACACCTTATCATATTTCTTTAGTATTTTTCTAATTGCAATGGAATTTATGAGTGCATAAGTAACCAGATCTTTCCCTTCTTGAATCAATGCAGTGTGTTTCCCTTGTAATTTGTCTTTGATCCAGAAAATGTACTTTCTGAAGCCAGAAGCGAGATGTAGCTCCAGCAATTTCTGCGCACGCTGATTAAAACATCCAACTATTGCTGACATTTCATTGAGAAGGGAAGGGAAAAAGGTCCCATCGCACACTGAATTAATTGTATTAAGTTAGCTTAGGGGTTAGTTGGAAATGCATCAAATATTAAAAGTCTTTACAATGGAACCAAAAATGCTTTGGAATTGGTTTATAGAAAATAAAACAGATCATGCATGCAAGATCAGGCAACAAAAAGAAGAGTCTTTTTTCTCAAAAACTCGGTGATTCCACTCTGGCCAGGGGAAAAATTAAAACTTTGAAATATAGAAGGAAAAAAAAAAACTTTTTGATCACCTGGGCATTGGTCAGGGCAGGTTTTGATGCCAAGGGGTGCATGAAGGCTTTTCTGGGATTGACATTCTCTTCTGCACTTCTTCAAGATTTTCTTGAGCTTCTTGAAGCCAACCACAGGAAGCTTCTTATCCTGGCTTTGCATGTACTCCTGGTATCTTTTGCAGAACTTCATGTTTTGCAAGAAACATAAAGGAATGCAATCCACTCACAGGGTTTGTCGCTGAAACGATGAATCTCCCAATACCAGAAACTGGAGGAGTGGGAACAAGAATGAGATTCGGTTTGTCATGTATTTGAGACCCTTTCTTATATATGAATGAATACTCTCTCCACCTTGTGTTGCCTATGTTAACGCCAACACTACGACGTGTGATAAAGATAAACTCGAAATGAGACACCTTTCCGACTATTTCTCTGCGAATAAGTCAAAATATCGGTTGTTTCTCTCTTCAGTGATGCAAAGGAGAGCAGAAACCCACACTTTATTAAGCTTCGTAAATGAAAGAAAAAATAAATAATTTTTTTTTTCAAAAATGGGTTTTGTAATGTCCCGGATACATTTCTTAAATAACGGGAAAAAAAAATATCTAATGTAATTTTAGATAACTTTCTTTAATATCTATCGAAACGATATGGTTTTGAAGTTGAAAAATTAAAAAATAGAATAATAAAAACTATTATAACCTTGAAATAAATTAAAATTACAAAAATATCATGATTTTTACCCCAAAACGACATCATTTCGATGAACATTAGATAAAATCATCTAAAGTAACTTTAAAATAAATCCATAATTTATCTAATAATTAATAAATAAATAAAATATTAAATAAAAATAAAGATATATTAAGAATATATATTTTTGTGGGTACACAGCCGAAGCAAGATAAGAATGATTTTCAATTGTTCGAATTAATTCTTTTAATAATCCTCGTAATTATTAAATACAAAATTAAATGCCTATTTGTTTAAGATATTTGCTCTGACCAATCCAAGATAGTATGAGTTAAATCACACACAGTTGAAGGTTAAAGACTTTGATCTTAGAATCGTAACAAGTGCGCTAGAATCTATAGTGATATGTGCTTCTCCGTGTTAGAGCTGTAATATGGTTCTGGTGCGATGGGAACGACTGAGAGTACCTACAAAGACACGTCGACGCTCAAGTTAGTATTAATGCTAGATATATGTTATAGATAATTGGAATCAAATGATCATACCTGGGTTTGTTCCCTTCATACTTATAGTAAGTTTTGTGCCGCCTTTTGTAGGTGGCATACCTTCTCATTGGTTGTTGTCGGTTGTTGCCTTTTTGTCTCAGTTGGTGCCTTTCTGGCTATTTCCTTGGTGAACAAGTCTATAGAATAGCTTGTCTTCTTAGATTAGTGGCAAACTGGAGTTGTTTTACTTGTATTGGCCCTTATGTGCGGTGGAACTCACTTCGTTACTAAGACTTTCCTTAGGGGGTGTTTGGTTCAGGAGAAATCTTTTTTTACTAGAGAAATGTAATTACAAGGAAAGACGTAGAAAAGTAAGTTTAGTAAGAAAGTTTAAAAAAAGTTGTTTGGTACTGCAAAATATTACTAGAAAAATTGAGTTAAATATGCTAAGTGTATGTTTGGTTGAAAATAAAAATTTGATGGGAAAATAAATAGAAATTAAGAAAGTAACCTTTTTATAAAATTTTGAATGTTACATGTGGTTAAGAAGAGGGGATATTTTTGTCTTGATTTTTATCCACTTTTTCAATTTCTCCGTTTTTCTAATAAGCACCATGTTGCAAACATCATTCATTGACAATGTAGAAGTACCTTTTTTACATGCATTTATAATTAGATAGGCAACTCTTTTTTATAGGTAAAAGTCATGATTCCATTCTACCAAACGTGGAGAACAAGAATGCAACATACACTTCCTTAGGAAAATTTTGAGATATCCTGAAACAAACACCCCGTTAGTCTTTAAGTTATTTAAGCTGATTTTACATGATAGTCCACACGATGCTTGGTGTATGCATTCTGCACAATAGGATCATTGCGCTTTCATGGGTCCTTTCTGAGCTTTAAATCTTATGGGCCTATGTGTTATCCAGATCAATATTAAATTTATTAGCAATTTCATTAAATGATATTTTATTAGGTATTATCTAAAGCAAATTATTTATTTAATATTTTCAGAAGAAAGAAAATATAGTACTTTCTTTATTTAATAATGACGAGAAGATTGTTAAAAAATTAATTAGCAAATTAGCAATTACTTTAATTATTAATGGATTTTAAAAAATATGCTCAATCCATGTTCAATAGTTGTTGGACTGTTCGCATATTATTATAAAATAATTTTTTTAGTACAAAAGATGTACTAAAACTAAACTGTTGTAATACTGATATTTTAAGTATTTTTAATTGAATAATAATTTAATTTTATAGCTGTGTCAATTTATATTGCTTATTAATAATAAAATTATACCTAAGATTTTGAACTTGAAAAATCTTTTCCGATATAAGAGAACACGTTAAAAATATAAAATTATTCATAAATTTCTATTTATTAAATTATTTTTTAAGAAAATTAATTAGTGCTAAATTATTCAAAATAAGAAAATCAATTATTTCTCAGAATGACTTATTTATTAATAATTATATATATATTTTATTTTACTATGTGTTATCACGTCTTTACAAATTCCAGTTTAATAAGTTGAAATTTATAAACACTGGCATTCACTAAAAGTTATATTCACATTTTATTAACTAATATTACCAAGGCCTATTTGTTTGTCTTTTTTAAAAAAACTTTTAAATAAAAAAATCAATAACAAAACTTTCAATAATCATATTAATTTTTAAAAAGGAAAAATTAAAAGACCCAGCTTTAATATTTTTCACAAGTTAAAAAAATGAATTTTAAAATAATTAAAATTTCTTTCATAACTTATCTTAGAGGAACCTGATATAATTAGATTAATAGTCATTTATGCATTTATGTGATATTGTATAGTATTACGCAGTGATAGTAGTACGTTTGGATGAGATATTGGAATTTGGAAACGATAAATTGGGAGACATTTGAACATTGTCAGGCATTTTGCTACGTGTAAAAAAAGTAGCTACTAAGTCACATGAATATGATTATTTATTACTATGATGATCTTGGTTGGTGGGTGACGCTATTGATGGACCCATACTACACTTTACAAAAGCAATATTGAAGTGATAGATTCGAATCGGCGTGTACTGGGGACATCAAATATTTTTGAGAAAAAGTGTACCCTTTTCACAAACTGTTCGAGTCAGGACATTGATACAAAATATGATATGATATGATATTCTGAACATATTAATTTTAAAAATATTAGATTTTGATATATTAAGATGAATTTTAATATTAAGTAATATTTTTAATTTATGTTACGTATATTATATTTAATATTTAATATTTTAACTAAAAAAAATAAAACTAAACTTATAATAACTATTAATTTTACAACGCATCTAATAGTTATATTAATTTAATCATAAAATATTATAAATATTTATATTAAATTCAATAAGATGATAATTCTAATCCAACGAATCTAATAGTTGGAACTAAAAATGTAAGGCAACGCATCCTTTAAATTTTTTTTTAAGTCTATGTTAAAATATTGGGATGTCGAAAAATATCGAAAAGTGTCAAGACGTGGGATTTTTTTCATAGGCCACAACTACACCACCAAAAATACCATTGCCACGTCCAAAAAGGCTTATGCTCGGTGCCCTTTTGGTGTGGCAGTGAACGCGGTTTGCTCCGTTACGTTGCGTCCACGAAACGAAGGGCCCCTATGCACTCCTCTCCCTTTATCCTTTTTCAATGGTTACCAATTTTACCATGAATGTCATTAACATTTATTGTTCTCGTTTCAATTCACATGTATAATATATATATATATATATCCGTTTTTGCAGTTGTATGTTCACATGCAAAAGCATGTTATATATATATAACATGATGTGTTAGACAAAATTATGAACTAAGTTCTGTTTACTTTTTAATGACTCTACCATCATGTCGAGTATACATGAGTAATAATCCCATGTGATTCTCGTGATCAATGAAATATATATAACCTTTACTTTGAAATATCTAGCCAATTTAAATGTGATTTGAATGGTTTTCTTACCATAATCATCATCTTGTTTATTTTATTTCAATTTCTTGAAAAAATGTTGAATAGATTACCTTTTAACTTTGTGGTATACTTAAGAAATGCTAATGCAATGTTAACTACCAATGACAATGAGGGAAAGTGGATCAATAATAAAATCCTATTGATAGTATATCTTGCTAATTATTAACTTAGTTCTTTTTTAACCATTCCACCAAGTGAGGGTGCTAAACTATTCCAATTGCAAAGAAGCATGTGTACCTTCTTTAATCATATATGTAAGCACTCAAATTCATTTCTATTCATCCATACACACAGCACACGGGAAAATCTTGATGGTGGTTTTCGATTTAACTCATATAAATATTGATGAAGACGACGCCATAATATGTTTGTTTTATGTCCCAAAAGAGGTGCCTTTATGAACAGTGATCTATATTTTATATATACTCCATACACTTGCATTACAGCTGATAGAATCATTCTTATGATCCATTATATGGATGGCTGTGGTTGTGGCCCTTTGTAAATTTTCTTCATTCAAAAGCCAAAACGAACATTGAATCTTTGCCTTATGACGGTTTAGGGACAGTAAGTGGAAGAACCACTACGAATTGTTGAGAGTTATAATCCATCACATAAAGGCAATTAAAGAAAAGGGTAGTTTATGTATTATGTTATTCTTTTACGATAACGCCACATATAAGTTTTTCCATTCGTAGATTACCGGTTCATGGCATCCATCCAATACATATCTGCGACAACAACCCACTTTGGGAAAGTGGCAATTTATTTTTCAGTCAAAAAACAAGTCATTGCTATTATGTATTCAAGTTGGCCCCTTAGCATTGCTTTTCTCATTTGTTCGTGCCTCTACATGTCCAATAATATACTTTACATATGCGAGAAATTGTATGTTATTTAATGCATAAATTAGATCCACATACGAAGAATACAATGTCCATTTTCATTGAGGAGATCAAATTGACGATGTCGTGTAGATAGGGTTGGAAAAAAGGTAAAGATTACAGGATATAGATAGACTTAAAAAAATGGAAAGTAAGTGCTTCGTACGCAAGTATTTTTATCT